GATGAACTCCCATGATGAACAGAAAATATATATTGCCTCCAGAACATGGCCATATAGCCCGGAAAAACCTACAACAACCCAGTGATTCCGGCCATGGAAGCCTTCGACAATACAGAAAATATATATCAAAGATTGGTTGGGGGGGGGGGAGGGGGGCAAAATACTGTTTGCTTACCTTTGAAAATTATCTAGAGCCGCCTCTGGATATTCACTAAGATCCCATCCACAACACCAACCTTGACAGGAGAAGCATATCTCTGTTATTGTCTAACATTAGTCCATTACCTTGATCAGGAGCTGTCTTTCTCATCCTGCAATTGGGTCTTGGATGGTGAGGCTTTATGAAGATGCAGCATGAAGCCTCCTACTGTTATGTTCAATGGGTCCTATTGACTGAGAGCAGTTCTCTTTGATGGTAATATGATTTTAGTATAGTGTTGGACACTAGGCCTGTGCGATTTGGTTCGTTAATTCGTTAATTCGTTAATAATTCGTTAATTTTACCATTTCCGAAGCGATATTGAAACAAATCTCCAAACCCAGAAGGGTTTATAAATATCGAACCAGCAGCCCCCATAGTATTTACGAGCCTCCGCTCGTTTCGTTAATGGGGTGGAGGCTGCTGGAGTGCTGGTGCATGGGAGCCAATCCGGCGCTCCCAAGCAGTGCACCATGGGTCCGTGGCTGTCCCTTTTTGATTGGCCGGCGAGCCCTTTCAAAGCGGCTCCGCGCGGCCCGTAGCTTGGTGCAGAGGCGAGGGCGAGGGAGTTTGCATTGGGTTGGCTTGGCAATGGCTGCCTGCTAGCAACGAACTGGGATTGGATTCATTCCTTGCTGCTGTGAGTGCTGCTTGCTTCATTTGCTGTCTCTTGCCTGTGTTTGGTCCACATTTGGGCCATTTTTTGGTTAATTGTCCATTTTAAAATATTTTTAATATTATTTTTAATATTATTTTTAATATTATTTTTTAATATTATTTTTTAATATTATTTTTTAATATTATTTTTTAATATTATTCTTAAAAAATATTCTAAAAAAGAAAAGACTCTTCTGTTGGTGTGTGCTCTCATTTGCTGTATCCTGCCTGTGTTTGGTCATTTTTTGGTTAATTTTCCATTTTAAAATATTTTTAATATTATTTTAATATTATTTTTTAATATTATTTTTTAATATTATTCTTAAAAAATATTCTAAAAAAGAAAAGACTCTTCTGTTGGTGTGTGCTCTCATTTGCTGTATCCTGCCTGTGTTTGGTCCACATTTGGGCCATTTTTTGGTTAATTTTCCATTTTAAAATATTTTTTAATATTTTTAATATTATTTTTTAATATTATTTTTAATATTATTTTTAAAAAATATTCTAAAAAAAGAAAAGACTCTTCTGTTGGTGTGTGCTCTCATTTGCTGTATCGTGCCTGTGTTTGGTCCACATTTGGGCCATTTTTTGGTTAATTTTCCATTTTAAAATATTTTTTAATATTATTTTAATATTATTCTTAAGAAATACGCCATCTTTACAAAATGTTTTGTAAATATTTACGAAATTTCGTAAATACCAAAACTTTTTTTTGGAAAGTTTTGTAATTATTTTAAATATCGAAACAAAAAAACACCCCAATTACAAATCGATTTTAGAAACAAATTTTTTCTTGATCAAACAGGCCTATTGGACACGTCTTCTATTAATAGATTACGTTTGTTGGCTCCTTGAATAATTTCTAGGAAATGAGGCTGGTTTTTCAAGAACTTGAGTCTCCGGCTTAAATCCTGATAAAAACAATTGAATCTTCAACATTTACCTATGTATTGGCTCATCACAAAGCAGCAATTGATCCCAAAAGTCTACTTTACTCATCTAACAGTATCCCAGCCTTTGTTTTGATATTGATTGTCATTTGAAAGAGCTGATATCAATAGTTCATGGAGAGGTTTCTGGCTGTTGTGTAAGAATAGATTTTAAGCATGAATTTGGTTTGAATCTTTACTCAAGTTGCCAATGAGACTCTTTTGAAAAAAAGGTCTTTATTCCATTAGAGTTCTTACCAGGGTAACAATTCTCTGCCCAGTCTAAGGCTACATTCGAAGGATGCATGTACAATGTAGAATTAATCCAGTTTGACAATGCTTTAACTGTCATGGCTCAATGCTACAGAATTCTGAGACTTGTAGTTCTGCAAGGTCTTTGGCCTTCTTTCCCAAAGAATCCCAGAATCATAGAATCATAGAGTTGGAAGAGACCTCGAGGGCCATCCAGTCCAACCCCATTTTGCCAAGAAGCAGGAATATTGCATTCAAAGTACCCATGACAGATGTCCATCCAGCCTCTGTTTAAAAACTTCCAAAGAAGGAGCCTCCACCACATTCTATGAACCAGCACGTACTCTAAGATCATCTGGGGAGGCTCTGCTCTCACTTCCACCGCTGTCTCAAGTGTGACCAGTGGGAATGAGGGAGAGGGCCTTCTCGGTGGTGGCCCACCGGCTTTGGAACTCACTACCCAGAGATCAGATTGGCACCTACCCTTTCCATTTTCCATAAGGTGTTAAAAACCTGGTTGTTCCCTTGTGCATTTGAGTAGGCAGTTCACCAGAGAATTGATCAATCTAGCCATAGCCCTTTGCACTTTCATTGGCCCTCCCACCTGTAATCCGGTTACTGTAAATACCGAAGGGTGTTACCCTCTCAGCTGTGTTTCATACTGAATGGACTTGTATTTTGCACTTTCCCTGGGCCCTATCTAGGAACGTTCCCTCCACACTTAGCACCTAACCCTTCAGCCATTGTACCATTTTAAAATGTGTACTTGTGTTTGTAACAATTTTTCTGATGATGTTGTTGTTGATTTAAATCTGTTTTATTTTATCTTATTGTGTATGTTTTACTTTGTATTTTTTGGACTTGTCCCCTTGTAAACCACCACGAGTCCCTTCAGGGAGATGGTGGTGGGTTATAAAAAATAAAGTTATTATTGTATTGTCGAAGGCTTTCATGGCCGGAATCACTGGGTTGTTGTAGGTTTTTCGGGCTATATGGCCATGTTCTAGAGGCATTCTCTCCTGACGTTTCGCCTGCATCTATGGCAAGCGTCCTCAGAGGTAGTGAGGTGTGTTGGAACTAGGAAAATGGGTTTATATATCTGTGGAATGACCAGGGTGGGACAAAGGACTCTTGTCTGCTGGAGCTAGGTGTGAATGTTTCAACTGACCACTTTGATTAGCATTTGATTGCCTGGCAGTGCCTGGAACAATCTTTTGGTCATTGGTCTGTTAGTGTTGCTGTGGCCAACCTTCCCTCCCTTTCTCTCTCCTTCCTTCCTTCCTTCCCTCCCTCTTTCCTTCATTCCTTCTTTTTTTCTTTCCTTCTCTCTTTCCTCCCTCCCCCTTTTGTTTACCTTCTTTCTCTCCTTTCTTCCTTCTCTACCTCTTTCTTTCCTCCTTTCCTTTGCTCTTTGCTTCCCTCTTTCCGTCTATCCCTTCTTCTCTCCCTCTTGCCTGTGCTCCAGCAGGAAGGCAGCCTTGCAAGGCTGGGCTGGGGCAGGCGAGAGGTGCTTTTTGAGGCAGGCCTTGATCACCCAGCTCCGCCCCATCCCTTCTTCTTGTTGGCGCCCAGGCAAGGGAAGGTGAAGCCTGGGAGCCATCCCCTGCTACACGTTGCTGTGGCCCACTCTGGTGGTTATGGGAGTTCTGTGTGGGAGGTTTGGCCCAATTCTATCATCGGTGGGGTTCAGAATGCTCTGTGATTCTAGGTGAACTATAAATCCCAGCAACTCCCAAATGTCAAGATTCTATTTTCGCCAAACTCCACCAGTGATCACATTTGGGCATATTGAGCATTTGTGTAGAGTTTGGTCCAGATCCATCATTGTTTGTGTCTGCTGTATTCTGTGGATGCAGGTGAATTACAACTCCCAAACTCAACATCAATGCCCACCAAACCCTTCTTGTCATGGGAGTCCTGTGTCCCAATTTTGATTTGATTCCATCATTGATTGAGTTCAGAAGGCTCTTTGATTGTAGGTGAACTATAAATCCCAGCAACTACAACTCCCAAATGACAAAATCATTTTTTTGAGTGAAGGACATACGTGGGGTTGCCCTTGAAGACTGTTCGGAAACTTCAATTAGTCCAACGAGCGGCATCCAGATCGCTCACCGGAGCGACATACAGGGAGCATACCACCCCCCTGTTATGTCAGCTCCACTGGCTGCCGGTTCAGTTCCGAGCACAATTCAAGGTGCTGGTTTTGACCTACAAAACCCTGTACGGTTCCGGTCCAGTGTATCTGTCCGAACATATCTCCCTCTACGTCCCACCTCAAAACCTGAGAGCATCTGGGGAGGCCCTGCTCTCGACCCCACCACTGTCACAAGTGAGGCTGGTGGGGACGAGGAGCAGGGCTTTCTCAGTGGTGGCCCCTCACCTGTGGAACTCACTCCGGGGGAAATCAGGGCATCAGCATCCCTCCTCTCCTTCAGGAGGAGGGTGAAGACGTGGTTATGGGACCAGGCCTTTGGGCAATCTGGCAATTAAATAAGACAATCAGGCGAGTAAGACCAACAGGATTGGTGAAGTGGAACGGAAAACTAGAACTATGAGTTAGCGATCGCTGACCATGTAAGAGGAGGAATTGGGTTTGTATTGGTTTTATTGATTTTATTGATTTTATTGATATAATGCATGAACTAGTGTGAATTGTGAATTGATGTAATTTTGTGTCTTGATTGTTCTGTGCTGCAGGCATCGAATTGTGCCTTTGCTTCTGTAAGCCGCCCTGAGTCCCCTTCGGGGTGAGAAGGGCGGGGTAAAAGAACCCCAAATAAATAAAATAAATAATTTGGTTGTTAGGTGTCTTGTGTCCAAATTTGGTGTCAATTCACTCAGTGGTTTTTGAGTTCTGTTAATCCCACAAACAAACATTACATTTTTATTTATATAGATAGATATTAAGAGAGAGAGAGAGAGAGAGAGAACGCTTGAATGAAAATAATACCACCATGAGATTTTTGAAGCATAAACTTTATTGCAAGAAAGAATTAAAAATAGCACAGAGGCATGACTTCCAGTGTTAGGGTTTCGGGTCGGTGTGTTATCATGGAGAAACAGTCGAGAGAGATCACAAACTCAAGGAAAGTGTGAACCATTGAAACTGGATGTTTTATTAAAACGACTCCAAAATGATTTATTTTCTCCCTTTTTTCCTTATTTTTTTTTCCATTTTGCTCTACCAATGTATTATATCTTACAGTCTTCAGCTCCTGGCATGAAGAAACTGGGGGTTAAGAGGGAGAGAGGGAAGGGCTGGAGGTGAGGGCTTGAGGGAACCTGGGGAAGGGTTGGTTGGGTTTCTACAGCTAACAAGACGTGAAGGTCTTCCAGAAGAAGTTCTTGCACCCCGCTTTGCGTACCCGGGGTTCCAGGGCTGGGTTCAAGCTGGCCGACCGCTCCAGCTCCAGCCTCACTTCGTCCTGCTCGGCTCCTCCACGGGAGAGGTCTTCCGGCTCCAGGGCCTCGTTCTCCGCCTGGCTGGGCTCCGACAGAAGCTCCGCCAGGAAGTACTTGGCCAGTTCCTTTGGAGAGAAGGACAAGCAGAGGGAAACGTTGGAGTACTGTTCGACATCTCTATTAATGACTTGAATGAAGGTTTAGAAGGCATGCTTATCAATTTTGCAGATGGCACCATCTGCAAAAGATGGAAGCTTATAAACAGAGGCTGGATGGCCATCTGTCAGGGATGATTTGAATGCAATATTTCTGCTTCTTGGCAGGGGGTTGGACTGGATGGCCCATGAAGTCTCTTCCAACTCTTTGATTCTATGATTCTATGAGTACTGTTCAACATCTCTATTAATGACTTGGATGAAGGTTTAGAAGGCATGCTTATCAATTTTGCAGATGGCACCATCTGCAAAAGATGGAAGCTTTTAAACAGAGGCTGGATGGCCATCTGTCAGTGTGATTTGAATGCAATATTCCTGCTTCTTGGCAGAAAGGGGTTGAACTGGATGGCCCATGAAGTCTCTTCCAACTCTTTGATTCTATGATTCTATGAGTACTGTTCAACATCTCTATTAATGACTTGGATGAAGTATTTATACATGGCTCTTATCCTGTCTCCTCTCAGCCTTCTCAGTTTAAACAGAGGCTGGATGGCCATCTGTCAGGGGTGATTTGAATGCAATATTCCTGCTTCTTGGCAGGGGGTTGGACTGGATGGCCCATGAAGTCTCTTCCAACTCTTTGATTCTATGATTCTATGACTACTGTTCAACATCTCTATTAATGACTTGGATGAAGGTTTAGAAGGCATGCTTATCAATTTTGCAGATGGCACCATCTGCAAAAGATGGAAGCTTTTAAACAGAGGCTGGATGGCCATCTGTCAGTGTGATTTGAATGCAATATTCCTGCTTCTTGGCAGAAAGGGGTTGAACTGGATGGCCCATGAAGTCTCTTCCAACTCTTTGATTCTATGATTCTATGAGTACTGTTCAACATCTCTATTAATGACTTGGATGAAGGTTTAGAAGGCATGCTTATCAATTTTGCAGATGGCACCATCTGCAAAAGATGGAAGCTTTTAAACAGAGGCTGGATGGCCATCTGTCAGTGTGGCCTGTAGCAAGGGGCGGGGGAGGTTAGGGGTTCAACCCCCCCCCCAAATGTTTCAGATTTTTTTAAAAAACTGGTTTACTCATGGATTTTAACTGGTTAGCCAAATCCCCAAGCTGCTAAGTCTATGAGATGCAAAAAATTAAGAGTCCCTCCAGAACTGCAAGCACTATCTCAAGCAGATATTGACAATTTATTCACACTGTCATTACTTGCAGCAATAGCTGATGTAGCGATAAACGGTTTGGGACCACCTACCTGCGTGACCGCATCTCTGTGTACGAACCCACATGATCTCTTCGTTCATCTGAAGAGGCCCTACTCACGATCCCACCTACATCGCAAGTGCAATTGGCGGGGACAAGGGATAGGGCTTTCTCGGTGGTGGCCCCTCGACTCTGGAACTCTCTCCCTAAGGACATCAGGCAAGCCCCAGCCAGGATAACTGCATGCCCATCCCCCTCCAAACACCTACCCTTTTCACCTGGTCATGCCCAGCACTTTTTAATTTTAATTATTACATTTGGCCCTGCCACAGATTTTAATTGCGTCATGGTGTGTTGTTAATGTTATTGCCTTGTTTTTCAGTTATTTTGCTGTATTGTTGTTGTTTTTACTGTTGTATTTGGGCTCGGCCTCTTGTAAGCCGCACCGAGTCCTCCAGGAGATGGTAGCGGGGTACAAATAAAGGATTATTATTATTATTATTATCACTGTCATTGTGGAGTGTGTGTGTTGAATGTTCTCATTAAGGAGGCCAGACTTGGTGGAGGTGGTTGACAGGGGTGGAGCTGCAGGCTATTGAAGGCTGCTCTGCCCCCTGCTGTGCTCTTTGCTTCAGCGTGAGATAGGAGGCAGGTTTCAACCCACCCCCCCCACGAAATTTTCAACTCCCCCACCCCCCCCCCCCCCGAAATTTCAACCCCTCCAAAAAAAATTTGAACGGCCATCTGTCAGGGTGATTTGAATGCAATATTCCTGCTTCTTGGTAGAAAGGGGTTAGACTGGATGGCCCATGAGGTCTCTTCCGACTCTTTGATTCTATGATTCTATGACTACTGTTCAACATTTCTATTAATGACTTGGATGAAGGTTTAGAAGGCATGCTTATCAATTTTGCAGATGGCACCAAATTAGGAGGAATAGTTAATACTCCAGAGGATGGGATCAGGATTCCAAAGGACCTTCACAGATTAGAGAGCTGATTAGTGTAAACATTGTGTCCAATTCTGGGCACCACAATTCAAGAGAGATATTGACAAGCTGGAATGTGTCCAGAGGAGGGCGACTAAAATGATCAAGGGTTTGGGGAACAAGCCCTATGAGGAGCGGCTTAAGGAGCTGGGCATGTTTAGCCTGAAGAAGAGAAGGCTGAGAGGAGATATGATAGCCATGTATAAATATGTGAGAGGAAGCTACAGGGAGGAGGAGGGAGCAAGCTTGTTTTCTGCTTCCTTGGAGACTAGGACGCAGAGCAATGGCTTCAAACTTCAAGAGAGGAGATTCCATCTGAACATGAGGAAGAACTTCCTGACTGTGAGAGCCATTCAGCAGTGGAACTCTCTGCCCCGGAGTGTGGTGGAAGGAGGCTCCTTCTTTGGAAGCTTTTAAACAGAGGCTGGATGGCCATCTGTCAGGGGTGATTTGAATGCAATATTCCTGCTTCTTGGCAGAAAGGGGTTGGACTGGATGGCCCAGGAAGTCTCTTCCGACTCTTTGATTCTATGATTCTATGAGTACCGTTCAACATTTCTATTAATGACTTGGATGAAGGTTTAGAAGGCACGCTTATCAATTTTGCAGATGGCACCAAATTAGGAGGGATAGTTAATACTCCAGAGGATGGGATCAGGATTCCAAAGGACCTTCACAAAACTGATTGGCCAAAACTAACAAAATGCATTTCAAGAAGGAGAAACGTAAGTTACTATACTTAGGCAGAAAAAAATGACATGCAAAGATGCAGAATGGGTGACACCTGGCTTGACAACAGTACACATGAGAAAGATCTTGGAGTCTTTGTAGACAGGTTGAACAAGAGCCAAGGGTGTGATTCAGCAGATGAAAAAGCCAATGGGATTTTGGGCTGCATCCAAAGGAGTCCACTGTCTAGGTTATAGAATCATATAATCAAAAAGTTGGAAGAGACCTCATGGGCCATCCAGTCCAACCCCCTGCCAGGAAGCAGGAATATTGCATTCAAATCACCCCTGACAGATGGCCATCCAGCCTCTGTTTAAAAGGTCAAGGGAAGTCATGGTGCCTTTGTATTCAGTCAGACTCTGCTCCAGGTATGGGCAAACTTGAGCCTTCCAGGTGTTTTGGACTTCAACCTGCACAATTCCTAACAGCCTACCAGCTGTTAGGAATTGTGGAAGTTGAAGTCCAAACATCTGGAGCACCCAAGTTTGTCCATGCATGCTCTACCCTATCAGACCTCACTTAGAATCATAGAATCCTAGTGTGACAAGAGACTGCATGGGCCATCCAGTCCAACTCCATTCTGCCAAGAAGCAGGAAAATCACATTCAAAGCACCCCTGACAGATGGCCATCCAGCCTCTGTTTAAAAGCCTCTGAAGAAGGAGCCTCCACCACACTCCAGGGCAGAGAGTTCCACTGCTGAACAGCTCTCACAGTCAGGAAGTTCTTCCTAATGTTCAGGTGGAATCTCCTTTCTTGTAGTTTGAAGCCATTGTTTCATAGAATAATAGAATCAAAGAGTTGAAAGAGACCTCATGGGCCATCCAGTCCAACCCCATTCTGTCAAGAAGCAGGAATACTGCTCCTGCTGGACTCGTGGTGCATCTGCACTGCAGAATGAATGCAGTTTGATTCCACTTTTACCTGCCATGGCTCAATGCAATGAATCACTGGAAGTTGTACTTTGGTGAAGCACCAAAAAAGGCTAAGGACCTTGCAAAACTACAACTTCCATGATTCCATTGCATTTAACCATGTCGGTTAAAGGAATTTCAAACTACATTCATGTGCCTCTAAGCTCATCTGATGCTTAGCTTGTGGCTTCAGGAAAGTAAAGCAGAAGTAACTTTTCACTTCAGTTTGGACCTCTCAAAGGGATACAGAGATATATAATGCATCCAAAGGCCCAGAATTATTTGATTCAAGAACCAATGCAACAATTTCTATACTTTCCATCATCCAATGTCTGAATCAATAATAATAATCATAATCATAGAATCATAGAATCAAAGAGTTGGAAGAGACCTCCTGGGCCATCCAGTCCAACCCCATTCTGCCAAGAAGCAGGAATATTGCATTCAAATCACCCCTGACAGATGGCCATCCAGCCTCTGTTTAAAAGCTTCCAAAGAAGGAGCCTCCACCACACTCCGGGGCAGAGAGTTCCACTGCTGAATGGCTCTCACAGTCAGGAAGTTATTCCTCATGTTCAGACGGAATCTCCTCTCTTGTAGTTTGAAGCCATTGTTCCATTGCATCCTAGTCTCCAGGGAAGCAGAAAACAAGCTTGCTCCCTCCTCCCTTTGGCTTCCTCTCGTATATTTATACATGGCTATCATATCTCCTCTCAGCCTTCTCTTCTTCAGGCTAAACATGGCCAGCTCCTTAAGCCGCTCCTCATAAATAATCTTTATTTATACCCCACCACCATCTCCCCAAAGGGAACTCGGGGCGGCTTACAATCAGGGTAGGGAGTGCCATGTAAGAATGGCTCATGTGCCTCCCATGCCATAAAGAACCACCTATTATTCTTGCTAAGTGCCCACCCCAATTGTCCCTCTTCCCTCAAACAGATATTGGATTACAGAATCCAAATCCTCTGAACATGGGGCATCTACACGCTGCCAGCTTCATTTATGGCCCTGTTCCACAACTCATTGACAAGCTGGAATGTGTCCAGAGGAGGGTGACTAAGATGATCAAGGGTCTGGAGAACAAGCCCTATGAGGAGCGGCTTAAGGAGCTGGGCATGTTTA